GCAATACTTTCCACATTCTTGTCTCCTTTGAGAAGTAGTCCCATCATAAGTAATAAAAGCAGGAACAGCATTTTTTAGGTAGTTTTTTTTTATATTTGCGCTGCACATTAAATAATGGTAATCTTATAATTGAAGGGTCTGGAAATGCACCATTCTTGTTCCGGCTAGTTCTGATAGTTGGAATCGTAACATATAGTTGCAAGGTTATATTTAATTATTTGGAACCAGGAAATAAGCATATTGAAATAACTTTTACTTTTTATCATGTATTTACCAAAAAAAAATCTGTAGATTTTCAAGTAAGAGGATCGTTATTTTTAACTTCAAATTTGTGTCAAATTCTAGACTTCAGTGCGGAGTGGTGTGAATATGCGGATTTCTAGACTGGTCAACTACAAGATAACCTTAAATAATTATTAGGTACATCAGAAAAAACATTGTTTAAATTATTAACCAGTGTATGCACAAATTATTCAATACACAAATTACCAAAATCTTCGACCCCGAACTACATTTATTTACTTAAAGGGATTAACTCCTATAAAAATACAGAATTGAAAAATCTTAAATATTTCTTAAAACTCAAATTTGTATTAATTTAAAATCAGTACTTCTATGAAAACCTAGTAAATACATTTAAAGAACTAGAACAAAACACATTTGGGGATGATTATTATTAAACAAATGTATATTTAAACACTTAAAAATAAAAAGACTACAAGTAAAATAAATTTATCATAGTTGTCTATTTGATTCATATAACCAGATACAACTTTCTAGCATTATAATCAGGCTAAAAGGAATAAGTCAAAGATTTTATTTATTCGCAGGGTCAGAAAAATATCAAAAGAAATAGGTACCTTGTGTATATAAAATTTATATCATGAACACATTATAATAGGGTCCAAGTCATAACATTATTAGTACCAAGGAGACAGGATAAATAATACGAAATATTTATATAGTAAAACTTTATACTAATAATTCTTTTTATTACAGAAAAGACAAAGTTGAATAACCTATTTACATAACCTACAATCATTTAAAACGTAGACATTAAACATATTTACTTGAAAAATAACGTTTCCTAGTAGATTTCTTATCACTTTTTCACGGATAACATAATTTGCATTAAAATGTTTTTCACAAATGGAACTTTTGGATTTAATGTTTATTTTCATACCACCAATAAATAATTTGCACCCTATTCTGTATAACTGTTTTTTGGCATTATAAAACTGCTATTAATATGTTGAAGACTCTCTCCCATAATCACAATTAAAAACAGCACAACGATCCACCATGATTTATATATTTTAAGATTTTAAAAAATATTTATCTATCAACACTTTTCAAATTGCAGCTCCTACTTTTATTTTTTATTTACTTTCTCGCCGGATAGACACTAGCGAACCTAGCGGATTTTGGCTAGGAAGTACGATTGGTTTTATCGCCGTTTTCATTTGTTTTTAAATAGGAGTTGATGTACCTTATAGTCCACCGTGGTCGTGATTCTTAGATACATTTTTTGACTTAAGAATAAAACTGTCATAGTATGCTGTGGCTTACTGACAGTAAACACTGCGATTGACTTTAGAGTGCAAAACCGCGTTATGTTTATTGAACATAGGTAAGTGAATTTTTGAAAATAAAGAGCAATTCAATTGACTTTGAATTTTCAAATACGTTACCTAATATTAAGAGACAAGTCAACATGCCGGTATTAAAGTGGGTAGGACGACAAATCATATGTATTACACGTGAGCAAAGTGCATACATCCTACTGGAGAAAAAGTGGCACTTTCCTCTATAGTAATACAAATAGGTATTTTTTATATGATATGCAGTAATAAAGATGATAAACGGTGGATAATTTATGATATGAAACCTAAACTATTCGTATCTAAAAACAAAAATAAAATTGGCGTAAGAAAAAACTCTAAACTCGGACAACAAATTTAATATTAGTTCATAAAATTATTGAATAAAATTGACTAAAAAAAAAACAAATTCTTTATTTGACTAAAGTAAACGGAAATGCTACATGGCGCTACTGCAGTTAAAACTATTAAATAATTTCGGCCAATATCAATTTTTAGTACAAACTTTTAGTCACTCATCTGACTACAAAAAGTGGCGTGTTTTATTTTTTGCTTACTATTTGTAGTTAAGTACAGGGAAGGGGGTGAAAAACATGGACTATGTTCCAGTGGTGGGAGCTATCATGTTACCTGTAAAATTTAAAGTAAAATTGTTTGTCGATGGATTTATCAGTTTTTTGCTGGCAATAAAATGTATGCTTCTGGACGTCAATAAAAAAAATTCTTTGCAGGCAAATTATGCCTTTCGGTTTAACTACTTTCGGTCTAGAGATTACGGCCACGTGACCAGATATTTACGTTTTTCAACAAAATATGGGAGATAACTTAAACGCGTTTTATCCGAATCTTAGATGATATTGCAAGGATTTTTTACTTCCCTCGGTCTGTCTGTCGCCGTCGTCTGTCGTTGTTTGTCGTCGTCTGTCGTCGTCTGTCGTCGTCTGTCGTCGTCTGTCGTCGTCTGTCGTCGTCTGTCGTCGTCTGTCGTCGTCTGTCGTCGTCTGTCGTCGTCTGTCGTCGTCTGTCGTCGTCTGTCGTCGTCTGTCGTCGTCTGTCGTCGTCTGTCGTCGTCTGTCGTCGTCTGTCGTCGTCTGTCGTCGTCTGTCGTCGTCTGTCGTCGTCTGTCGTCGTCTGTCGTCGTCTGTCGTCGTCTGTCGTCGTCTGTCGTCGTCTGTCGTCGTCTGTCGTCGTCTGTCGTCGTCTGTCGTCGTCTGTCGTCGTCTGTCGTCGTCTGTCGTCGTCTGTCGTCGTCTGTCGTCGTCTGTCGTCGTCTGTCGTCGTCTGTCGTCGTCTGTCGTCGTCTGTCGTCGTCTGTCGTCGTCTGTCGTCGTCTGTCGTCGTCTGTCGTCGTCTGTCGTCGTCTGTCGTCGTCTGTCGTCGTCTGTCGTCGTCTGTCGTCGTCTGTCGTCGTCTGTCGTCGTCTGTCGTCGTCTGTCGTCGTCTGTCGTCGTCTGTCGTCGTCTGTCGTCGTCTGTCGTCGTCTGTCGTCGTCTGTCGTCGTCTGTCGTCGTCTGTCGTCGTCTGTCGTCGTCTGTCGTCGTCTGTCGTCGTCTGTCGTCGTCTGTCGTCGTCTGTCGTCGTCTGTCGTCGTCTGTCGTCGTCTGTCGTCGTCTGTCGTCGTCTGTCGTCGTCTGTCGTCGTCTGTCGTCGTCTGTCGTCGTCTGTCGTCGTCTGTCGTCGTCTGTCGTCGTCTGTCGTCGTCTGTCGTCGTCTGTCGTCGTCTGTCGTCGTCTGTCGTCGTCTGTCGTCGTCTGTCGTCGTCTGTCGTCGTCTGTCGTCGTCTGTCGTCGTCTGTCGTCGTCTGTCGTCGTCTGTCGTCATCTGTCGTCGTATGTCGTCAGCTGTCGTCAGCTGTCGTCAGCTGTCGTCATCTGTCGTCGTCTGTCGTCATCTGTCGTCATCTGTCGTCATTTGTCGTCGTCTGTCGTCGTCCCTCGTCGTCTGTCGTCGTCTTGTCATCTGTCGTCGTCTGTAGGCACGATATCTCAAAAACGATTTTAAAAACAAACTTAAAATTTTGTATACAAATAAAGTTCCTTTCTGGCTCAAAACTAGTTATACTTTTGATCAGTTATATACAGGTTGAGCAGTTTTAAAAAATAATTATTTTTTTTTGCTAAAATTGGTATCTGAGTAGTTTAGAAGTCAAAGTTAACAGGTTCTAAATAAGTTTTCTAAAATTCAAAATGGCGTTGGACGGAATCGTAAATAGTTTAATAGATCTCAAAATGTTTTTATAGTTCTAAACTAAAACTATTGCGCTTGCAAACATTTTATAATCAGTAGTTCTACCCCATTGGCCATAAATTAGACTATACGAACAGTTTTTTTGGAATGGTTGAACTATTGAATAAATATGCAAGAGCAATACTCTTAGCTGAGAGTTTCCGATTTTAGACCTAGTTCAAGGTTACAAAATTAGTTTGACATTTTTTTTAAAAAACCCGAGCTGATTAGAAGTTTGAATGGTTGAACTTGGTTATATTACTGAATAAATATGCAAGAGCAGTACTCTTGAGATTTAGACAAACTTTTTAAGAGCAGTTAAACCACTTTTATACCTACTTCAAGGTTACAATATTTTTTAACATATCAACCCCTTCACCAACACAAAAAAATACTTGCAATGTCATCTAAGGTTCTATAAAACTGCCTTTAAGCTTTATCCCGAATTTCGTTTAAAAACCTTAATATTCGGTCACGTGGTCGACATCTCTACACCGGAAATAGAAAAACCGGACAACATAAAATGCTTACAAAGGGATTTTTAATGTCATTGACGTCCACAAACATATATTCAATTGCAACTTTAAATTTCACAGATCACATGACCGCTCCCACCATCGGGACATAGTGTATTTTGTTCATCCCCCTCTCCTGTATACAACTGTAAATAGCAAGCAAAAAAGACGACATGTCTTTGTTTGCTGTCATATGATGGGCTATTTACAGCGTCAATTAAGGGTATAACACTATTAATCGTATTTCAAGAAATCAATTTGTGTTAAAATCAGGCTCTATAAATTACCGAAAGTATGTTTTGTTTATTAGAAAGATTAGATCTTTTACAAACTAAATAAATATGGTTTTATATTGAAATTACATCTATTTTTTTGCTAGGCATTCCAGAAGTTTCAAAAAAGTCTTTATGCCTCCTGAATCTCCTGAATTTCGTTTTTGCACTAACGCAGTGGAAGGCATTTAAAATTTTGTTGTAAGCTGGATCATTCTCTAACACATTTTTGCTTTTTGAGTTACACCTCTGGACCTATAATGAAAAAATGTACTTTATTGAAAGGGTTTCATTATTATATTGATGGTTTTGTAAAATATTTAGATTCTTGATATTATTTATTTACATTTCTGCTTCAAAATATTATTATTACTGCTATTTTATACCTTACTGATAACTTTCTTTAAATCTGGACAGATAGCGACAGAATTAACTTGTTGCTGTTGTTGCTGGAGCTGCAGGTATTGTTGCTGATAGTGTGGTTTTTGATAATCTTGTTGTCGCTGATAATAATCTCGTTCTTCTTTTTCTCTCCCTTCATCTTCCTCTTTAATACATTTAATTAAAATATCTTCTTGAGACGTCTGATCAGATTCACTCGATGTTAATAAAGATTCTGCTGCCTTTATATTCATTATTGGTGGACTAATGCTCTCAGTTTCCTTCAACAAATTATCATTTTTATTTGGAGTGCAAGAGATGTGAGTTTTCTTTCGTTTTAAAGTCACATTAATTACGTTTGTTATTTTTGGAGATGTTTTTAGAGAACTCGTAAGAAAATTGTGTACTTCTTTTATCAATTTATTTTTGTAAATTGCATCTATTTCTGTGCTCGGAATTTCTAGACCTACAAAAAGTAAAAATTTTTTCACCTCTTCAAAATTAAAATGAAGATTTTAATTAGATTTAAAACAAATTTCATCTTATTATTACCTTCAATACACTCTTTTACTTGTTTTAATTTCTTCTTAACAAATTCTTGATGCATAAATTCGTTTTTATTTATTTGAGACACTGTTTCTACTTGAGTCTCTGATAGCTCGTCTTCCTTTAATTTATTTGACAAAGCTGCAATTTTAAGATACAGCACCATCATTTCATACAGAGTTACAGAATTTGATTCCTCTATATCTTCTAAGAACTGTAGAATGTCTTGATTTAGAGGTAGCAAGTCGTATTTACCAATAAAGGTAGATAATCTTGTCAGTCTTTCTTCTGCGATTTTCATTTTTGTTTGAATTTTGTACGACAAATTTTGAAAATTTTGGTAAATCGAATTGTTTACGCTAACATTAAATTTCCTGTAAAACTTTCCCTAAAAATTGTTATGGTAAAAATGATGATTTATACCTAATACAGAGCTTACTGATTATTCATGTCAATGACAATTTGTCATCATTTTAATATTTAAGCACGATACACATACTAACGGTATGCTGACTTTCGATTCAAATTTCGTCCAAACCGCGCAGTGACGTAATGCGGGACATCTAGTCTTCATATGCGGGACGAACTTTCAAGTTATTTTGACACTTTTCGATTGAATAGTGTAAAATATTGTAATAATTTATTTGTTTTTGTGTTAGTAGTGACTATATTTTCCTGTATATAACAGAGAAGAACTGAATTAATGTTTAAAATGTCGGACTGCGCGGTGGCGACTTGCAAAAACCATGATACGAAATCTAAAAATAGTGTAATGTAAAATTTCCATATACCACAAAATGTCGATAAATTCTTATCGAAGAAAGGACAAACTTAATTTAAACAAATGCCCAAGTATAATAGGTTTAGAAGCAAAGAAACTAAATAGGTATTTTAAAATTTTAGCAGATAAAACAGTATATTCATGTCCCAGTACAACGGTCCCTTTTGAAGTAATATTATGCATAAGCAGGACACGAACATATTTAAGAATAAGATACATGAACAGAAAAATTGGTCTTGAGTATTTTCAAAGTAAACTTGACAAAAAAATATTTAAAACTACCAAATAGTAATTTTTTTGTGTACTTTTCATAAATAAATAATTTATTTCGGCACACTTATTTTTATTTCACAAAATAATAAAAGGAATTTCAAGAGAATTACCACGCCCAGAAAGTACAAATTTGAGTCAAACTTTTATTTTTAGTCTATATTCTTCACTTACAGCCAGATTATGAATTCTGTCACAAAATAGCTATAATTTATGAGAAAAAATAATATTTTTATTGGTATTATTTACCTTATACCTTCATATTTATAAACGAATATATTACAAAATAACCAATAAAGCTTAAGAAACTAAATAAAATCTAAAACTGGCGAAATATCGAATTTCAATCACTATCTCCCAAAGACATTATGTTGTAATGTCTTTGCTATCTCCCATTTAATGCTAATAATTCTATGTCCCACGTGACGTCACCGTCAGTCAGCTGCATGCGCAGCAACATACAGTCTGTGTATCGCTTAGAATATATATAGCTAAGGTGTATCGTGTATTTAAGTAGGTATTATGGAGTGTAGAGGTAATGAGCACGATTCGCAGACTGAAACGGTGGTCTCTTCCGTTCTTTGCTAAAGAGAGGTGTGACGTCACGGAATGAAAAATCGAGCTGACAGAAAATATTCTGCTGCGATTCATACTTAGAGCAAAGGATTCATACATAAGTTTTTTAGAAAGTCTAATATTTTATTCATATTTATGAAGGGAGGTAAAAGTGGTATTTATACCCAAACCTGGAAGGATGGATTACTCTGTCCCAAAGACATACCGACCAATTGGTCTGACATCGTTTTCCATGAAGAAATTGGAAAGGCTATGCGAAAGGTACATAAGGAATGCGGTGATTACAACAACACCACTACACCCAAACCAAAATGCATACACCTCAGGCAGATCTACTGATTTAGCCTTTCATCTAGTTGCTGGCCGGATAGAAAGATCCCTGGACAATAAGGAGTCCGCCTTGGGTGTTTTCATAGACATAGAAGGTGCTTTTGATAAAACCACCTTCTCAAAGATAATAAACTCACTAACCAACAGGAATGTTCCACAAATGGTTAGTGGGTGGTAGAGTGTCTCAAAAAAACCGACTATTTTTTTTTTAAAGAACATTGAAAATTCGTCAGAGTATCTCTAGAAAATGACCCTGTGAAAATATGAGCTCTTAATATTAATATTTAGAGGTGGCGTTTTGTAATTTTCTATTTCCCATTTAAATAACATGGGAATTTTTTTTTAACTTTGGAATTTTGTAACGTGATAACGAGCTACTTTATAAGTATGACGAAATTACCCCTTATAGGAAATGTAATACTCTACGAAAAAAGTCTGATTGACTTTTTGCGTAAATGCGTAAAAAAATTTATTGTAGATTTTACTGCTAAGAAGTTAACTAGAAATGTATAGATCTTGTATTTAACTGTTATTACTGTTTAATCTATTAATAAGCCAATAAATCTGTTATTATTAATTAAAATGGATTATTGATACATAATATAAATAAATTTATAGTAAACTTCTACCAAATTTTTTTAGGTAAGTGAATATTTTTTGCTAAAAATCAATAAAAATTATCATTTATCAAATTATTAAGAATTTTAGATCTGCATTCCATCAAATATATGCATATATTTATTAGTAAGTTAATAATTTTGGGTTTTAAATACATATAAATTGATTTTTTTAGTATTTAAGAAAAAAAAGCATAATTTTAAACATTCTGAAGTTTGAGGCTCGATTACTTTGAAACGACTTGACTTACGCAAAAAGTCGATCAGTTCCTTTTTGTAGAGCATTAAATTTCCTATAAGGGGTAACTTCGTTATATTTATAAAGTAACTCGTTATCACGTTACAAAATTCCAAAGTTTAAAAAAATAGAAAATTACAAAACGCCACCTCTAAATATTAATATTAAGAGCTCATATTTTCACAGGGTCATTTTCTAGAGATACTCTGACGAATTTTTAATGTTCTTTGGAAAAAAAATAGTCGGTTTTTTTGAGACACTCTAGGGTGGATATATAATATGCTCTCAAAGCGAGCAGTAAACACAAGTGTAGAAGATGTGAATATAAGAGGCTTGGTTGCGAGGGGATGTCCACAGAGAGAGGTGCTATCACCTCTACTGTGAAATATGGTCCTCGACACCCTTATGAACCGCCTCAATAATGACAGTCACTACACAATAGCATATGCAGATGACCTGGTTATTCTGCAAACAGGGAATTTTTGAGAACATACTCTGCGAAAGAATGCAAGTAGCTCTAAAAATTATAGAACAGTGGTGCAAGGACCATTCACTGTCTATCAATCCTAAGAAGACAGAAATGATCTTTTTCACAAGGAAAAGAATGAAAATGAAATTAAAACCTCCAGAACTCCTAAACACAAAACTAAACTTTGCAACAGAGGTGAAGTACCTAGGTCTCACCTTTGACAGCAAGTTAACATGGAACTTGGATTCAAAAAAACCGAGTTAAAAGAACAATGTCGCCGAACCGTGGGGCGCACCTGGGGTTTCTCCCCCAGAGTCGTTGCACGGAATTACACGGATATCATAAGACCTATGCTAACATACGGTACAGTTGTCTGGGTACCGAAAACCCAAAAATGAACAGCTATCCGTAAACAAGAACAAATTCAAAGAACAGCATGTCTCAACATAACAGGAGCCATGAAAACAACACCGACCAGAGCCATGGAAGTCATTCTTAGTCTTACCACAGATTACCCAGATGCGAAAGTTGACAAAGAACATCAAAATTAAGAGAGAGATAAATGACCATACCCATTTAAAGGTCCCTCGTAGCAATTCGTTTCCACTCGCGTAGTTCCGAAGGCAAAAGTTATTTCATTATGCGAAGTTGCCGATGCTCCTAGGTTTTCTGATGTTATGTGACATTGGAATTTAAGTCAAATGAAAATGTAGGTACAAACATTTTTTAATTACCCCCCACATACTTCGATTTTTTAGTATGTGGTTACCCCAGACGTTACATACAATTAACGTATAATTAAAATCCGCTAAACATAAAATAATACAAAACCATTTTTTAAAGGTTTATAGTTTACATTTATCATGACAATCAATGACACTTTAAAAACGAGTGAAATTTTAATTTTTTATGTGACAACCTTGCTTAGGATGCTGTAAGTGAGATGACATTTCTGTGACATTCAGGACAATCAGGACCGGTCGTGACGCTTTGCGTTGTGTGCATTTTTGGACAAAAATATTGTGAATTTGTGTCCAGTCTTCTTCTGTAGATAAATCATGAGTAAAGCGAAGAATATACGTCGTGGTGCCATCTAGGGCACGTATAAAATGTCTTTGAATTCATAGCTGTAAATGTATGAACACTTTTCTACTGCAACTTTCGTTTTAGATAGCAACAAGATTTTTATTCATTTGAAAGGTTATGATATCAAATCATTATTTGGAAGTCTAAAAACACAAACCAAATGTTTTTATCAGTACATTTATCAGTTGGAATATTGCAGTTTTTAAAAAATATAGAAAATTACTTACCTTGTCCCACACTTGGAAATAATTCGTATAATTTGTTTAACCTTCACCTGACCTCATGGAGTACGTACATACCCCACGCTCTTTCTCGTCGATTTTCGATATCTAAATCTTCGAAATCGAAACTCGTAACGACATCTATCAGTAGTCAAGGGATATACTTTTATACCTAGGCCAGTGGTATAGCGCTCTCAAAATAAATACTTTTTAAAGACCCATGAAAACCATTATTATTCTTTTATAGTGACGTAACAGAAGAAGACAGCTAAAATTTCAGCCCTTTTTATCGAAAAACAAAAAGTAATGATTGTTTTCTGTAAAAAACTCATTTTTTCTCAAGTTTTCAAATTTTCCGGATTTTTTTTTGAACGCTGATCTTTTTTCAACTCGGACTATTCTACAGTTTAAAGTGATATCTAAAGAGGATCTCTGAATTTTTTTGAGACAAAATAATCAATATTTCAATTTTTACAAAGATTTTTATCACTGGGGTTCGTACGTACCCCACGAGTCCAGGTATGTTACTCAGGATGAGCATACCAGGTGAAGGTTAATACAGTTCAAGGATTTAAACACCCTTGTCAACATTTTTCTAATGACTATTTTTTAAAGTTATCTATTCGTCTTCGAATATTTTACCTAATAAAATTCAGCAACATATATTTCAGAAATCAGCAAAAAGAAAATAGAAAGGTATGTATTTTAAGTAA